TATAATTACTAAAACAAACATATAGACAAATAAAATATAAAAAATATATATACAGGTTGGCTTTTCTAAAGGTGCCCAAATTCACACAGGAGGTTAAGACTCTGTAGTATAATCGATTATTGAAATAAAACAAACTTAAAAAAAAAACTGATGATGATCGATCGCGTCTAGAGAAATAGAAGAACCACAAACAAACATTAGATGAATTGGAGACACCAAAAGAATTTAGAAATTTCCACACATCCGCTAGAGAAGAGTTTATTATATTATTATGGATATATCGGCGTTTAGCTGCACGTACCATCTGATTACACCTATTTTTGCTTGTTTGAATGCTGCCCAGTTTTCTTCAGTACGTTCGTTCTTAAACAGATAGAAAGCTCGATTTCGCATAGCCATTGCCTTTCACACGTCATCTAAGGAGTCGGTGGCCTTTTCAATTTTACTTTTAATGACCGTAGCATGTGCATTATATAAAACATGAACAATATTATTGAGTATAGACACCTTCTCGTCAGTCGTAGAAGCCATTGCCATGGGATTAAAATTTGTATTAGCCGCATCCTCAAGGAGTCTTTCCATGTTCAATTTTCTGAAGTTGCGGTAGTATATATAAACGGGAGTAACTTTAGGAGGTTTAATCTTATACGAAACATAGATTAGATCGTGACGAGAGAATCCTGGAGCGGAAAGAAGAACATGCGTTTCCACATGGTCAAGAGAATTCGTTAAAATAAAATCAATAAGACAGTCGTCAGCGTGCATATTGTGATGTGAAAGGCAACCCTTTAAAGGTAGAAAGGTGAGATCAACAGACTCAATTATTGATTGAAGTCTTAGAGAACGTTAAGAATTTTTTTAAAAGTCAGTGTTTAAATCACCCATGATAACTCAGTGTTTTTTCCCGGACATAACGTTTTCGAGAGCCGATTCCAAGTTGCCGAAATAATCAATGGAGGGTGGGCAGTACACGACTCCTAGAATCATCCTAGTGCCTTTGACATTCAGTTCTAGGAATAAACGTTTTGCAGAGGGGAATAAAGCGAAGAAGAGGCCATGGTAATTTTGTACTCTATAGATTTGTGTAGATAAATGGCAACCGATCATCCCTCTTTATTTACAAGATCATTACGAATAAGTACGAAATCTGTTAATGGAAATAATGCAGAATTTAAGGACGGTTTTAGCCAGCTTTCGGAGATTAAAATTGCGTGTAAATGGACAGATGAAAATGTCTCTTCAAGTTCAGAAAGTGACTTGATATACTTTGGGCATTAATGTGACAGATATTTAAGGTTTTATCGCTGGCTAAAAATATTTTGTTAAGTTGATTTTTTAAAGTTAGAATGTTATCACCTAATGAATCCTGAAAATAAAAGAGAATGTCAAAACGAATGAGCGCTTTAAGTTGTCAATTACAAGTTTTTACTTATTATTTCTTAAAAAAAAAAAGAAACATTGCCCTTAATGTAGATAACATTATCCTGTGCTGTAAGGACGTCTTAAATATAATAATTTCAAGTGAACACCCAGATGTGAAACAATTATCTGGGGGTCACACAAACAGTTGTTGATATACCATATTTTTATTAGAACCTATTATGTGGCAAAACGTAGTATCTTCTCCATTACATTATTTTGAATCTTAGGAATGTTATGAAAAATATTTAAGCCCTTTTGAAATTCTGTGTTAAGGGACACTATGTATAGTAATATAGTTTGGTAACCGAATTTTGTAAAATTATAATAAATCTATGAAACATGTGCAGAGCGTAAACTTAGGTTCGTTACTGTTTAAGAGACAATATTAAAATTTGGAGATAGTATGGGATATAATTATAAAATCGGAACCATATTGTTCTAGAAAATAATTGATGATATTCACGAAACTATCTGTTATCACGATTTCACCTCGTGACGTAAGCTGTGGGGAGCGAAAACACAGACAATAAAAGTTTTTATACAAAGGAAATTCCAGCGACAGTTTGAAAGCGTTTGCGGAATGCCTTAACTTTTACCCAAATCGAGACCATCTAAGTAAATTCTGAGTTAGGAACTTTTGTTTGTCATCGGAAAGTCGTTACGTTATTGGAATTATTCTTCCAGAAATTTAGTTATTTGAAAAAATCACAATACGATTAAATAATTATATTTACAATATTATTATAATTGTGTACCAAAACATATCAGGGTATACAATTTAAAGTATTTTACATAAAATAATATATTTACATAAAATAATAAAATATACGTGTATTATAATTAATGTATGTACACACTTAACTACCATTTTTAACCAATTTCCAGTCACAGATCTGCCGGAAGTAATTTCTTCAGAAATAAGCAGGGCCTTTGTACAAATTCTTTCATGTATTTACGTTTCTGTCATAATTCTCTGTGTACATAAATTATAAAATAAATAAATAAAACAAAAATTGTGTACAAGGTTTTAGAGTACAATAAAAATATATTTATTGATTTAATAATTACAAATTTAACAATCATTATAATTTGATGCGATCTACGTAGACCACGCAACGGTCTTTGCCATTGCACAGTGGGAAGGTCCGTTCGAGGAAGTGGAAGTGTTTATACTTCTGCGTTTCGTCTGTTGAGTAAGGTAGTCGGGATCCCCTTTATTTACAATCCTATGGGTATTGTAAATGTCCTTGGGCGGCGGTTGTCACTTAACATTAGGTGAACCAACAGCTCGTGTGCCATCTTCTCACATTAAAGAAAAAAAAAAAAGAGAAATTTAGCAAAAAATGCTATGTTTCAATTAGAGATGTATTTAAATTATAATTTAATGAAATTTTGCCCTGGAATGTGAAAATATTTTGTGCAAATTAATTCTATCTCGCATCAGACTCTCAAAAAGGTGAGCGGTGCGTTTCAGTTTGAAGAGAAGATGGAACAAAATAAACGCGGCGGGACTTTTCTTCTAAATGCACAGACTGCTTAAGCTGTCGATTTACCGACTAATGACAAAAGGATGTAGTTCAGCCTGTAACAGCGGCTGTCGCGTCACAAAGCTTCAGATAAACAAAGAGCAAACCGTTTATAGCCCGTCGAGCTCAAGTGTGATTAAAGCTCCGGATTTCCGCCTGCGTTTGACATGCAAACATTGTTGGTTTCAGCATCACAGGCGGTTGAGTTCTTTAGTAATGCCTTCCATTAACGAAAGCTAGGTATTTCAACAAAAGTTTACACTTTTTAAGCTTCCAATTATGTTTTCGTTTTGTTAAAACATATAACAGAAACATCAAGCTAATTACAGAACTAGCGAAACGCACCGGCTTCGAACGGGTGCAATGTAATATACATTTATAAATCTTCCTCTTGAGTCACTCTATCTAGTAAAAAAAACCACATCAAGATCCGTTGTGTAGTTTTAAAGATCTAAGCATACACAGACAGACAACGGGACGACTTTGTTTTATACTACGAGTAGGTAGTTATGAAAAAATTAAATGATGATGTTATTTTTACAAACACTTAAGTGATACGTTTTGTTTACTCATAAGATAATATTCAAGTTGATTAAAAGGAAACAAATAATTATCCTAAAAGCCGGATATTTTAATAGATATGTCAGTCATACAGACTGATGAAAAGAGTATTCTTACTTAAGTGTTCGTTCTTCAGCACAGAAACTTAACATTTTTATTAAAGGTAATTGTTTTGGACATTGCTTCCTCCATTTCTAGAAAAAATATATATTTTATCGTGTATGGACACCATCTGCGACTTCGATTATTTATTATGCTTCGATCGACTTGTTTGGGTTTATGCAATATTTTCGAAGTAATAACACTAAGATGTTTACGATCAGAGACAATCGACGGAATGATTTTGCATTCTTTCTGGTGACCGCCATTTCCAGGGCCCAACGTTTTAAAAGTTGACAACACATTAGAAATAGATAAGGTATTTTATATATCCATGGCTGGAGGTAATAGTCTAACATCGGGTAGACACCGGTATCGCTTGCAGCCTTCGTTCTCTGTCTCTTAAAAAATACACTTCCGAGAAACAGCCTTATCTCATTTATGTTTATCAGCCTGCATAGTAAACGTTTTATTTTTTAACGTTTACGTAAGAATATAAATATATTTATAAATTTTCAAACTCTACGCATAGTTTAAAAATACTCTAAGGTGCTTATGTTTGATATTGGTCTGAAAATTAAGAACAATTCAGAAAATTTGAAATTCAAAGTAAATTAAGTTGGACACAGTCACATTTCCACTGCCATTTACTTTAAGTTGTTTATTTAAGTTACAAAGGTCAAAATCGGTACCCGGCAGGCTAACTTTATAATCACTTAACAAGGTATTAATCTAGCTAAACAAAAACTTTTAGAGCTATATAAATTGACAGCGAATAAATATATTTTAACTGTGGTAGGGCCACGCAACATTTTTCACTGTTGCACGAATGGGTAGGTCAATTAGCTGGCGGTTCACCTGATGTTAAGTGATAACCGCCGCCCACGGACATTTACAAAACCTGTTGCAGTTATGCATGCTTATGCCGCCTATTAATAATAACTTTATTTATAGGTGGCAAGGCATTTTAAACCCTACCGGGCATTGCAAATGTCCATGGGCGGCGATTATTACTTAACATCAGGTAACTACTATGCAGTTGCTAAGCTATAGCTGCCGGGCGTTATGCATAAGATTTCCATACGGGATAATTATTAGTATGGCCCACAGAATTTTTTTCCAGATCTGCATGTTTGTTCCCAAAGTAGGGGGGATTTCAAACAGGCAGCGTGTCGTAAAAAACCTTATCACAAATTCACCTTCTTTACTATTCTCGATTCACTATTACAGAGTGACCAATGAACTCAAATTGAATAAATATCTGTTTTTTCTGCAATGTTTTTATTTACACATTTTTTTATAATGAAGAAAACAGTTAAGTGTTGTGTGTTTATGAAAAACTAAGTTTGGTTAAAACAAAGTATGTTTGGATAAAATAACAGTATGTTTTCACACCATATCAGGTCCTATCTCACTGTCTGGCCCGTATATACTATCATAAATGAAGTCGACAACAAGTTGTATATAAGGAAACATAAGTGTTGTAAGTAAAACTACACTGTTAGCGATAACAAAAAGTTTCATATTCTCTTGACCGTCTGCGGACCTGTAAATAAAATTCATTATTAACACGTCTTATGTTTTAAAATCAACATACAAAGGTGAAGCATACAGAGTAGGTAGTATGTATATCAAATCTTACTCATATAAATAATAAAGATTTTTGAAATCATACTTCTTTTAGCGCGTTTAGAACAAAATTATGAGAGTAAAATTTTTACAATGAGCGCGCATACAGACATCGATATGATGAAGTTGATTTCAAGTTCACAGTATTACCATGACAACCAATAGTAACCTTTTGGCATTTACCTAAAATTCTCAGTAATCGAATTAATCTGTTATCAATTCATTAAATCTCATATAATAAATAAGGAGTACTGGCACAGGGGATAAATTTTTAGTTATTTATCCTTTTTTACACTAAACAAGTATAACTTCTAACGCGCATACATGAGTACATACATATTATGTTTTGAGCACCTTTTGTCGGATTACCCTTACAAAAACAAACGTTATTGAAAATAATATAATTTAATAATTAATAATTTATGAATTCATAATATCATTTAAATAATTCCAAGCAACTAGGAGATGTAACGAGAAACAAGTTAATTTGATTGCCTACTTGTCAAGGCTTTAGCTGCAAGTGCTTGATAGTTTATAAACACCATTTACGTATTTCAAAGCTCATGAACAACTTGCAGTTTAAACATTCAAGGTATTTATTTATGTTTAATTTGTTTTATCAATTCCTCTTTAGGGCTCAATCTAAACCTAACAATTAATACATAGGCACTATAAGTAACAGCCTATACGTGTCCCACTGCTGGGCAAAGGCCTCCTCTATAAAGAGGATATATAGGGCACTATAAACATGCGTTATTTTAGTATAATTATTTTAAAATATTTCATTTAAAGCATAAAACAAAAATGCCAGCATATAATATATAGCCTGATGCTGCGCAAAGTCTTCTCCTGTACATAGGCTGCTTTCTGCCAAGCGATCCCTATGTGAATTGACCTCACATATTATCTTCGATTTTTTTTCATTATGATTATTTCGATAATATTCAGGTTTCCGCAGGATGCTTTTCTTCCTTTTGGCGGTTCAACTAATTGAAATTGGCGAGCTGTCGGTTCACCTAATGTTAAGTAATTATCGCCGCCCATTGACATTTGCACCTTTATATAAATTTGGCGACCTCACTCACAAGACAAAACGCAAAAGTGTAACACTTCACACCGGTCTTCTATGAAGTCGTGGTATCCGGGCGGACCTGCCCATTCGTGCAACAGCGAAGACTGTTGCGTGGCCCTACCACAGTAAGCTAAAATTTGCAGTGAACACTGAATACGTGTTAAGTCAGCACTTAAAAATTAAAAAAAAAATTGTCGTGAACAATATCATTGGTGCTGGCACCCGGATTTAGAATCAGATTGCTTGATAATATTGAATAAAAGCGAATGCCTGAACATGCCACGGCATAATTTATATTTGGTTAAATATTTAAGTATATCTCCCACTTTATTAGTAAAACATAATTTTGATTAAAATGATAATATGTTATTACAATCAGAACAATTGTACTTCCAGTTAATACTTAATCCAAATAACTGTTCCAAATAGTTGAATACCCATTCACGTTACTTACATGTAGTCGTAAAATACTTTTAAACTTTATTTAAAATAAATAAAAGAATGGAAGTCGTGCAAATGTAAAGATTAGACAAAATATACCACATTCGATCAAGCTTTAATCTCAAAGTGTTAAGATGTCCGTACACTTTGTAGCTACTTTAAGCTTGTATTTTACTGTTTATTGTTCAAAGTTTAATTTATGCAATTTAATTAAATTGATTAAAAAACAGAAAAAAATACCCTAGTTGGGTATTATAACTATAAAATATAAAACAAAGAAATGAGATAACTTAAATTAAATTAACATTTACCTAAGCCATCCTCCAAATCCCTGATCTTCGTCATCGAGCGAATCTAGTTTTGTCGGGACCTTTTCATTTCGATCATTGTCTGCGTTATTATCCATTTCCTTTTTTTTCCCTCTTTGTTTATTCTCAAACTTGCTTTTGGGCATGATCTGTTTAAGGATTTTTTTATTTTCTTTTTAATTGGAAGAGAAAAGTAAAAGTAAATTAAGAAAGCACTCACAGTAAAAAATATAAATGTTGAAATTTTGCAGATACTTCTAAAGTAATATTTTATCTATAAGTACTTCACTATCTTTATCTTATTTTAATAAAACTATTGAACAAAACTCTTTAACATTTGCAATGATAAAATGTAACTTTAGAAATGAACGCAAAGACAAGTACAAATACGTCCTCTCAAATTACTGACGGCTAGCCGTGTACACATAGGTTTGCTCGATACGAGAAACCTTTGAAACGCAGATCAATAATATGGATTTGCTCCAAGTCTTGAGAGTGCCTTGTAGGGTACTCACTTATCTCATTAGGAACCCATTTTTAGGGTGATGTTACGCATAACTTAGTCATGTACTAGAATGTAATAAATAATAATAATAATAGTTAAGAAAGCCAGTAACTAAGGGAAAGTAACATAGTTTACTTTTTCTTAATTAATTAATACTTTTGTATTAATAATAACTCATTTGAGTGAATGAATGAATGAATTAAATATACTTTATTGTACACTACAAATGATACTGAATAATCAAAAACAAATAATACACATCTGTACAATAGGCGGCCTTATCGCTAAAAAGCGATTTCTCCTAAGCAACTCTTCTTCTAACCTAGAAAAAAAGAGATAAGAAAAATAGTAGGTAGTACCGGGTATGGGGTACACTGAAATGTACACTATTTAGATAAATATATTTATGGTATACTATATATATAGTAACTATGATCATTAACATATTTTGTAGATTTTGATGATGAAAATATAAAAGTGTTCGATTTTAAATTTATTGTGATTTAATTAAATATGATTCTCTTTGTTCAGATTATGTATTTGTAGAATTTCATATTTTTTTTAAAGATTTAGGTCCTAGATAAATCGATGTAGCCGATAACAATATAACTAGTTCTATTCTCGCTCAACAATTTAAAAAAAAAAATTGATACATCGATTTTATTAGTGCACATCCAATATGTGGTATCGTAAATCAGTTCTATAAATTCGTGATTCAAAGCGCGTTGCGGACTCAAATGAGATTTAGCACAAAGAAGAACTCGTTTGATCCCGAGTGACTCGACACGATTATCGTTAAGTGTGACACGGAGGTGGGTCATTCGTTCCCTGGACGTTATCTAAAGTGCACGCTTCCTCCACCTCGTGCAGGCTTACGACACGCTGTATAGACGTCATTTACATTCGGCAAATTTATTTAACTCGTTTCCACGACATCGTTTTATACTTGTCCTGAATCCAGACTGTGCGTTCTTTCACAACGAGCATGAGTGAGTAAATGGTACCTCTGTGACTGGATGTTTTGATATAGTTTTATTTTTAAATAAAGTTATGGAATTTTAACCTCCTTCCAGTCTACACCAATAATTTAAAATAACATCATATACGGTTGATATTTAAGATGTCAACCCCGTAATCGTAACAATATTTTAAAGTAGTATTTTCTAGAAAAAATATTTTTCATGAACAATTATTTCCGTAACGTAAATCCACAATCTCGAAATAGCTGATATATATTTTTTTTGTACAATTTTTTTAAGAGAGAAGGAGGCATGCGAGCTGCGGTTTATCCGATGTTAGATGACAACCGCCGCCCATGGACATTTGCAACACCCAGAGGTTGCAGATTCTTTGCCAAATTTTAATGAAATACCACAGCCAATAAATCAATAGTCAATCAATAACTTCGGAGAACTTTCTGTCTTTTTCTTTGGCAAAAGAAATAAAAGCATAAGGTCAGTTTTTATTTTGACTTAAAAAAAACAAGCCACTAATTCAAATTTATATCAAAAGTTATATGTTTATATAGATAGTTGAGATAATAGTTGATATGAAATATGATCCAATGATGAAGATAAAACCATAATTCATGCACCATTGTTTCGTAGCGCGACAGTTGTGAATGATTACTTTTATATGTGATGTTGATTCCTTATCTTGTCTCGGGTAATATAGTCTGTGATTATTGATTAATGAGATCGAGCGTACGATGCAACTAACCCAATATTTTTTTTGTATATGCCACAATGGCCCTTGTAATTTTTTGGTTAGTGCTTTTACTCGTTATGTACGTACGCGAAATATATCTACTATGAATCTACTCGTATACACTCAAATTAAAGGTAAATACCGTTCTCTACATTTACCCAGTTTATTATATAGTTTTTTTTTTTGCAAAGACTGAGATAATAGAAATCTCTATCACAATTAAAATAATCACATTTGATAACGCATGAAAATGTATTCTATAGTGCAGTAATAACAAGTGTTTCTTATTTTTTTTATTTTAAAACGTTCAATTAAATATAATATTGTTTTACGTAATTACAAACATTTTAAATTTACTGCTAAAACAAAAAAAAGTACAATTCTGATTTATATAAATGTATAAGCTATATAAGACAACAAGTCATGGATAAGAAAATGTCTAGTACCCAATCACTGTTCCTGAATGATAAATCATCTTTTCAAATATTTGGCTCCAAATTACCCTCATGAATAACATTTATGAGACCGTAGCATGAGATTCTAAATGAAGTAGAGCGAACCCAAACCTTGGAAAAAATGGCTAGATAAAAGCGATGATTCCTATTTTTCCACAAATCAAACTTTCGAATTTATATCTCTTGACCGAATCTCAGCCGAAAAACTAATAAATTTTTATTTTTGCTATTTATATTATGTATAGTGCAAAACAACCATTCCTTGCTGGCTTAAACTAAAAATGGTTTCGGTTCGGAAACAAAACAAATTACTCCAGAAGGGTTGTATGGCGTTTGCCGCCTGCCAGAAATTCTAGGCTTGAAACATAGATTTGCCATCAGCTAATCCTAACAGACCTTTGTTGCATGTTACTTGTTTCACGATTGCACCTCCGGCAATAGACTTTACTTAGGCTTACGACAACAATGCAAAGCGTTCTAGCAGATGTATAATTGTTGTTTATTTCTGAAAACTGCCAAATAAAACACAAACACAATACAATGCATTTTACATGTTGTTCAAATATTCATTTTGGCTATTTCATAATGACATACCACGAGATTTGAGTATTAAATATTAAGACCATTGTTACAACTAGGAATAATTATAAAAAGGTATTTACTAAAGCAATCGTAGTTATTTCTCGACTCTCTCGCAATCACAAAAATTATCTGAGTTTATTACAGAGGATATTGCACAAGTTGTTCTTATTAAATAGGAAATAACAGGTTGTTAACCTTAGTAGCACCACAAATTTCAAAATTGGGCATCTTGTAAAATCAATAATTTTGGATTATTGAGAACTCTACGTGGTTTCCAAATTGCATATGATATAAACTTTATCCAGCATAATCATTTATGCATTTAAAATTTACATAAAGTTGATGTCAAATTGTGATTGCATATGCAACACGAAAGTGAAAGAAAAAGAAAAAAATCAATATAATGAACATAATCATAACAACAATGTCTATTATGCCATATCTTGTCCGTTATTCTAATGTAGTGTTACCCAGGGCTTAAAGATGAATGTTGGGGGAAAGTAAATGTAAGGTCGTGTATTTTTACAAAATCGCTATATAAAGTGGACGGCGAAAAATTAAGGAAGGAGCTGCGTCTAATAAGGCATTATATAATTAAAATGTATGTAACCATATTTTAAATTTATACATATTTTAGGTCTTATTGACTTAAAATAAATATTTCTATTTTCTGATTTATCGCATGGTGAATTTAATTATCCAAACTATTACTGCTAGATGGAATACCTATATACATACATATACATTGACGCCAGTGCACAGTGCCATAAAATTTATATTACTTTATGAGGCGACACGGCATCTAAACGTATAAATCTAAGTTTCCAATACTCTTCGCTTTACAAAAAAAATACTCCTTTCAAGTCTGACCTTGAGCTTAATAAAATGCTATTTATAATTTTCTTCAATTTTTAAACTGATGACACAAATGGATACTTTGCATAGTAATTCATAAACGTAGATCATCCCACTAAAATTGACTTTTAATATACTTTACCACTTTCACTAGTTAATATAAAATGTCGCCTCTTTAATAGATATGCCAAGCGCGAACAGTAAACTTAGAAATAAAATAATTTGTTGTAATTAGTAGTAAGCAATTCATGAATAGTAAAATTGAGTAAGTTATTGTGTATTGTTATATTGTTATATATGTGTATTGATGAAATCAAAAGTTATCACAGAAAAATAGGAAATGAATCCATTTATCCACTTCATTTATATATTCTAAAATATTTTGCAAAGCATAATAATATTAAAATAAAAGAGTCCGACGCTAAATATTGTGGAATAATAAGAGCAGACTTCACAATTCTCTATGAAATCTTTAGCATAGTAGTAGTATCAGCAAATGCAAGCCGAATTTACGATTCCATTTCTGACGTCATTTGCATTTCCGCGTTATTAAGATGAAACATTCACCTGTTTCAAGCAGACCTCATTACACTTGATTTTAAATCGTCCCCTATTGTCACTAACATACAGTGTTATTTGCGATATTAAAGTTTAAAAGACCGCGAATTATGAATAACTAGCTGTTAACCGCGGCTTCGCCCGCGCGGCTGAAGGGAATTATCTATGAGGTTTTTTATTATAGATATCCATAGATAGATACCAGAATATCTTGCAGATGGCTGATTTTTTTTTCCTACTTCTTTCATTTTTAGAAAATGTCCTTGTACCCCTGTTTTCAGGGAATGAAAAATATTATTCGAAGATGACAGTAAATTTCGCCGTAAAGAGAAATGTTATAATAGCTCGGTCGGTAATCGGGCGGCCCCAAAACAGACGGCCGCGGTTCGTATCACGCTCATTTACACACTTATTTTTTTCCTTTTTTTCTATACCAGATCATTTTCTTTATTTTTTATTTTTTTTCCGAAACATGATTTACCAAAAAAAAACTGAGCAAAGCTTTAACAAGAAAAGTGCAAATAATAAGCTCAACACTGGGCATTTGGCTATAACTGGAACCAAGGAAGCGGTATATGTTGCAGAACATACGGTGGTAGGGCCTACGGGCCTATAGGCTGCTGCGTGGCCCTACGGTGGTAGGGCCAATAATAAGACCTCAACACGTAAAGTGGAAGGCATTTGGCTATAGCCGGAACTGGAACCCCAAGGAAGCGGTATTCACTTAACATCAGGTGAACCGTCTGCTCGTTTGACAACTTTTCGCATAAAAAAAAAAAAAAAAAAAACATTTGGCTCCGGGTAATAAGAAGTTGCATGCGGCTGCCAGACACGTTGCGAAAGAAAAAAAATATAAATTTGTATGGGTTCGGAAAGGCAAAATTTTTGTGCGCAAAGATGTTAAAACTCAGGCCAAACTGATAAGTAGTCACGAGATGCTCGACTCTCTTCCTCAATAACAGTATCCCAACACAACAGTTTTTTTAATTTACTATCAAAATGTTAGAGGCATAAGAACCAAAACCGAAGAATTTATGTTGAATTCTTTACGTTACGAATATGATGTAATAATTTAATAGAAACTTAGCTAAATGAATCAGTATTTGATCACGAATAATTAGATAATAGGTACAATATATTCAGAAGGGACCGTAAAACAACTTCTTCTCCGGAAAACAAAAGGGACGGGGGCGGAGTATGCATAGCAATGTTAAAAAAATACGAAGTGTTGCGTAAAAAATCATGGGAATCTGACTGCGAAGATTTGTGGATTACGTTTAAATTAGAAAATGATACAGGTGCTCAACAATATAATTTTTGTTTGTTATGCGCCTCCACCTTTATGTCAAAATTATTTAAATACCTTTCTTACCAACTTTAGTAATGTTTTAAATAATCGCGTATCACAAAATTCTTTAAAAAAAGAGAGCCGTGATAGCTCAGTGTCCGGGCGCTCGCCTTTAGTTCAATATACTCGAGCAACCTGAGTTCGATCCCCGGTGCTGGCACCAATGAAGTTTTTAACTTTAAGTGCTGTCTTGTCACGTGCTCCGCGGTGAAGGAAAACATCGTGAGGAAACTTGCATATTTTCGAAATAATAAAAAAAAAAAAAATATTTCGAAGATATGTGAAGTCCGCCAATCCGCAGTGGGGCCGCGTGGTGGACTATGCCCTGATACCCTCTGTATAGAGGAGGCCTTTGCCCAGCAGTGGGACAGTTATAGGCTGTTACTTTACTT